CCGGGCTGGATTTGAACCCACCACCTTAGGTGTATGTGGCTGGTGCCTTAGCCACTTGAGCCACAGGCGCCGAGCCAGAGGATTACATATTACAGAGAAAAATCTCCTAGCACTCTAGGAAGCTGAGGCAGGTGAACTGCTTGAGCTCAGGAGTTGGAGACCAGCCTGAGCAAGAGTGAGACCCATGTTTCTACTAAAAAATAGAAAACTAGCCAGGTATAGTGACACATGCCTATAGTCCCAGCTCCTTGGGGGGCTGAAGCAAGAGGATCATTGAGTCCAGGGGTTTGAGGTTGCTGTGAGCTATGACACCATAGCACTCTACCCAGGGTGACAGAGTGAAACTCTGTCTTAAAAAATAAAGAAATAAAACAAAGAAAAATCTGGATATCTAAGTCCTTAGTATTCATAGTGTGGTCCAAGAGCATTGGCCTCACCTGGGTGCTTTTTCTGAGAAAAGTCTCAGACCCCGCCCCAGACCCACTGAATCAGAAGCTGCATTTTGGCACAAACCCCAGGGGATTCCTATCCATATTAAAGTTTAACAAGCACCTGGGTTTCTAAGCAACATTCCCCTGCACTAATGTGGATAATGTTCATACCTCAAATGTGCCATTTATCACATGCCATCTGGTGTGGAAGTCTGTGCCTACGGTTTCTTTCACTGCTAGGCTGTGACCTCCTGGAAGGTAGGGGCTGAGCAGGTGAATAGCGCTGGATCTCTCATAGAACTGACCACAGTGGCAGGACGCAGAAGACCTGGGTTCTTGTCCTCATCCTCCCGTCTCTGAGCTATCTGTGTTGTATCATTTGTGAGAGGATTTTCAACGTTTCCAAGGGACTCACTCCAAATCTAACTATTAAAAAGCTAAAGATGGTGGCAGACTTCTGCACCTAGTTTATTTATAGGTTTCCTCTACAGAAGGCACTTGATGGGTACAAGGAGGAAGATAGTAACCAAGTCCAGAGTGGATGATGCCCCAAGCAGACTATGAACCTGGGCTGTAGTTGTCCCAATTGCTGCCCTAAGTCTTTTTCAGAAGGTCCAGCTTTGCCTAAAGTTCCTATTAGCATCAAAAGAAAGCCAGTATCATCATGAAAGAAGCATGACAAGCTCCCTGGACTCTGCAAAAATCTTCTGAAGCTCGGGCTACAGATGAAGCATGTTGCTAGGGCCTAGGCAGGTTCTGAGGCTCAGAAAGGGGACATGGAGTCAGAGGCACTGCTGTCATCTTCGCTTAGAAAGCCTGAGCTCAAGAGGATCTATTCCTATCCTATAGGGACTTGGCCTGGAGTCCTCAAAGGCCCCCAGAGCAGTCTGCTCCTGCATCTCTGAGGTGGGGGTGGGACAGGATTTGTGTTGAAATGGTATATAAATATATATATATAGAGAGAGAGAGAGACATAGTCTCATTCTGTTGCCCTTGTAGAGTGCCATCGCATCATAGCTCATAGTAAGCTCAAACTCTTGGGCTCAAGTAATCCTTTTGCCTCAGCCTCCCAAGTAACTAGGACTACAGGTGCCTGCCACAATGTCCCCAACAATTTTTGTATTTTCCTAAGTGATGGAGTCTGGTTCTGTTCAGGCTGGTCTCAAATCAGCCTCCCAGAGTGCTAGGATTACAGGCGTAAGATATTTTTTAATTCAGAAAAGGCTGAGAGATTCAGATGGGAGGGAAGGAGCTCAAAGGAAAGGCCTGCTAGCTCACTGTCAAAAATAGGCCACCTTAGGTTCGAGGTGTTTCTACAAGAAGTTTGTCAATATAGATTCTTAGTATTATACTCCAATTGGCCAGTTGGCCATCCCCCTTGGCCAGTTGTTATTAATGACTGATTATTCATTTGCAAAAGAATTCTTCCACTAATCCCTATGACCCCATTGAGAGTTCAGTGTTTTTCTTCATTTTAGTTTTTATTTTTTTCTTCAGTTCAGACAGTTTAATGCTTCCTCTTTGTCCTTCTTCACTTTGTTCACTGTCATCCTGGCCGGCTGTTTCATCAGCAGAACTACAAAACCAAAAGGCAACAGAATTTGAGAGGTGTCTTTGCAGTATCCAAGGAGGTTGTGGGGGAACCTGAAAAAGAAGCTTGGGGTGGGGGGTCTGGAGACACTGTCCTATTCCCAGCTCTGCCATTATTAGCTGTGTGACCGTGACCAAACCACTCACCTGGAAAATGAGATCATAATGCCTGTGAATGGTATCAGGTAATAAATGGATACTAATCGTGTCAGACACGTGGTGGGCTTTCAATTATTAAGATTATTAACCGTGACTATTATTTATCATTTGTTTAGAGTTTAGGTCTCCCTAAAGAGAGAGAGGCAATGGTCACTATCTGAACATGTCAGAAGCTGTGTAGAGGCCACCTCTGCTGGGTCCTGTCTCTCCAAATAATAGGAATAAATGAGTGTGTTAAGTTTAAAGCATGCAAAATGTCCTTTCCTGGACAGAACAATCACAAGAGCTACATTTAGGGCCGGGTGTGGTGGCTCACACCTATAATCCTAGGATTCTGGGAGGCTGAGGCAGGTGGCCTGCCTGAGCTCACAGGTTCTACACCAGCCTGAGCAAAAGCAAGACCCAATAGCCAGGAGTTGTGGTGGGCACCTGGAGTACCAACTACTTGGAAGGCTGAGGCAAAGAGATTCACTTGAGCCTAAGAGTTTGAGGTTGCTGTGAGCTCTGAAGTCATAGCACTCTACAGAGGGTGACAAAGTAAGACTATCTCAAAAAAAGAAAAGGCTACATTTAATTGAGCATTTACTGTGATCCAGGAAGTAATAACATATATTAATTATTTTCATCCTTACAATACCCTATGCACTAGGCACTAGTATCACTCATATTTTTATAGCTAAGGAAGCAGCTCAAAGAAGCTAAGTGACTTGCTGAAACTCCCAAAATACTAGTACATAAACACACTCAAAATTGTAAGAACAGTGGTTTTTATGTACCAGGCATGTAGGTCCTTAGGGCTTATTGTATGGTTGTGCAAGTTGTTGACAGCACCAAAGAGCCTAGCCAAAGGGGCAAGTTGAGGCTGAAACTCAGCCCATGCTGTTTGCCCTGTACCCTGGCACAAGACCATGTCTGCCTAGAGGAGGGGACATCTTTCTCTAATTTGACAAAGTGCCATATGAGCTGTCAGAGGCCTTGATAATGCATTACATGTATTCTCTTCTCTAATCGTCAAAGCAGCTCTCTGGGGGCTTGCCACCCATAGCTCAGTGATTATGGCACCAGCCACATACACCAGGGCTGGTGGGTTCAAACCCAGCCCGGGCCTGCTAAACAACAATGACAACAGTAATAAAATAGCCGGGTATTGTGGAGGGTACCTATAGTCCCAGCTACTTGGGAGACTGAAGTAAGAGAATTGCTTAAGCCCAAGAGTTTGAGGTTGCCGTGAGCTGTGATGCCATGGGACTCTACCGAGGTTGACATAATGAGACTCTCTCTCAAAAAACAAAACAAAACAAAACAAAACAAAAACAGCTCTGTGGGCTATATACTAATACCCCACTTTACAGCTGAGGAAACCCAGGCTTAGCTAAGTTTCTTTATAAAGGGTAAAGCTAGAATTTGAGCCTGTGTCAGAGTCCATGCTCTAAACCACCAGGCCACTATGCTGAGTCCATCCCTAAGTGCTTGAGAAGTGAATGAAGACAAAGTACTTAATCATCTAGTTTTTACCTTAAAAAAAAAATGACAGCTCTAATCAGGTCCCAATAAGAGCTATTGAGGCCCTTAGTAAGAAAAATAAATTTATCAGGAATTTAGAGAAATGGAAGACAATGCTCCAAACTGTGACTTTATGCTTATTATTTAACCATTTCTATAGCTCAATTTCCTCATCTGGAAGTGAGAAGAATATTATAAAATGGAGCCAGGCACAGTGGCTTATGCCTGTAATCCCAAGTTGAGGTGGCAGAATCTCTTGAGGCTAGTTCAGTATCAGCCTGGGCAATATAGCAAGACCCTATCTCTAAAAAAAAAAAATCTTTTTTGAGACAGAGTCTCACTTGTCACTCTCAGTAGAGTGCTGTGGCATCACAGCTCACAGTGACCTCAAACTATTGGGCTCAAGTGATTCTCTTGTCTCAGCCTCCCAAGTTGCTGGGACTACAGGCACCTGCCACAATGCCTGGCTTTTTTTTTTTTTTTTTTTTTTTTGGAGATAGAGTCTCACTTTATCGCCCTCGGTAGAGTGCCTCTCATAGCAACCATCAACTCCTGAGATTAGGTGATTCTCTGGCCTCAGCCTCCCAAGTAGCTGAGACTACAGGCGCCCGCCACAACACCTGGCTTTTTGTTGTTGTTGTTGTTGCAGTTTGGCCAGGGCCAGGTTCGAACCTGCCACCCTCATTATATGGGGCCGGTGCCCTACCCACTGAGCCACAGGTGCTGCCCTAAAGGAACAATTCTTATAGTTGTTTGCAAAGTGTATGTTAACACATAATTCTCACATCAACCCTGGGAGAATCCTTACCCTTTTACTCAGGGAGGTGAGTGATATGCTTAGTGTCACACAGTAATAGAGAAGAATGGGACCTGGAACCAGGGCTCCCCACTTGATCAAGGACTCTTTTCTAAGTATCTTAGAACTTTGAGAGCACCTGCAGCCTGCCTGGTAGTCCAGACATCACATAGCACATGTGCAAGTCGGACGGCAACTGATGTAAATCACGTGACCAGAAGAAGACCTGGCAGGGAGGAGCACTCTAGAAGGAGTCTGTGCTTGGCTCCATGCCTGAATACAAAACCTCTGCCTTTGCAAGGACTTGGGTACTATAAGGCTTTTCCAGGGCTGCCTTAGGAGGAGAGGATAGTCTGGTGGGATTAGGGGGCAATTCCCCTCTGACAAGGCTCAGCCTTCCTGTCTCTAATTACTGGCTATGACCAGTGGTTCAAAGAAAATGCCATCTGTGAAAGCACTTTGCAAAGAGGTGTGGTCCAAATGCAGAGTGTTATTGTTTTTCCTCCTCTCTGTGGATCTCAGGAAGCCAATTCCATCTGTGCCGAAATGACAGACTTGCCCATCCTGTGACAAAATGTGGGCTGCAGCCCACTCCAGTTTGGCACCCTTCCAAAATTAAAACATGCCCATGCACTCTCTCCCCGCCTCCTAACAACGCCCCGCCACTATCTGTGGTTCTGCAGGCCTACTCTGTGCAGGCTGGCAAGCCCTGCCATGCACAAGGCCTCTTCTGGGCTGTGGGTATTCTATTCCTTTCATGGGGCAGGGTCTGCATGTGACAGGGGAGGGGGAAAGATACAGGCATACAGACCTTCCATCGATTGCCACATTCATTGCATAAGACAAAGGTAGTCATGGGCTCATCAGCACTCCGTGTTTGCACCTGAGAAAAGACCCACTCATGAAATCATCTCCTGCTCTAGCACCTGCTATGGCTCCCACTGTCTTCAGGAGTAGGTTCAAATCCAGAGGTTGGCACTGATATTCCCGCCCCATCCTGGCAATTCTCATATCACTGAGAACTCCATTAACATATGCTTTCTTCTTTGTCAATATTATCAACACACTCCCAGTATCTCACCAGCTTAACTTGACCTTTGCACTTTCACTCTTATTGATCCTTTGCAATTGATCTGTCCTCTGGCCTCAAAACTCATCTTCTATGGGAAGTATTCTGTGACTCACCCCTGAACACACCCTGCTGGAAGTACTCACTGATCAGAACTCAGTGAACTGGAAGCATCCTTAGAGATCATCTAGTTTATCTTCCTTATTTTACAGGTGGAAGAACTGAGGTCCAGAGAGGAAAAGGACTTGAAGATCAAAGGGACCACTCCATATAACGTTTTCTAGTTTCTCCGTCCCTTAATTTCATCATGCAGGCGTAGGAACTGGATTTCTCACAGCAAAAGGCTCTGGCATTTCCAGATTTAACAGTTGCTGTTTTGATTTTTTAAGGCCAGCCCCAGTTGGCCATGACATGTAGAAAGTTATTACTTAGCTGACATTCAGCTACAAATGATGTCAGCTGGGAATCTATGGTGTGGGAGGAACCACTCCACTAATGAGTGAGCCCAGGAGACTGCCAGGAAGACACAGCCTTGTGCTGGAAAACAGTGACACCAGAGAAAGGAAATTAGTGGGGCTTCTCTATGGGAGAAACGCTTTGCTAATGGGCAGTTTACTTCTGGAAGGAGGCGAGGCGCATCACTCTACGTGGAAACCTGCTTAGTTGGGAGAGAGCAGAAGCTTGCACAAACACCCCTGAATTCCTGAATCAGAACTCTCCCAGAGATGCCTCCACAATGGCAAGGCTGATTGTATTCCTGCTGTAGTCACAGAGCACCGCAGGCAAGGTGCTCTTGAAGAGTCTTGCTTGCCAAACAGATGGAGGAATGAACAGAGTTCTAGACAACAATTAGAATCCAAGGATATTGGTGCTCCAGGGGCACTCTGAAAATTGCAGGAAATAGGAGGCCATTCTCTGGTTTTCAGAGAAGGGAGACCTCCACAGCTTCTGAGGCTCTCGGCTCCAGGGCAGGGGTCTTCACTGTCAGGACTTGGGGCTAAATCCCCAAGCCCCCTTGGGGCTTTACTGACCAAGTTAGCTGGACAGTAGGCAGCAAGGTCTGAATCTGGGTTTATTACTCTCTCTGCCACTGGCCTGCTCTGCCACCTTGGGCAAAGCTGCAAAGCCCATCCACCCCTCCCACCCCCCATCTGGGCCTCAGTTTCCCTGTATATATAACGGGGGAGCTGGGTTTCATATGGCTAAGTTCTCTTGAAGCCTCTGTGACTCTACGGAAGTTCAGAGTTCGGTGAGTCTGGTTCACTTATTCCCACTTCAAGGCAGTCCAAGCCTCAAAGACACATAGCTGGGTGATTCCAAACTCAGGAGAACATTTTCTAGAAGCTACTTGGTAACAGGTTGGTGTACCAAGCGTTGCCCTTCTCTCTGCAGCCTGGAGAGTCTTAGTCCTTTTTCCCCTCCGGCTCTTCCCTAAGCTTCTCTGCGTTTCCCACCTCTTTGCCCTCGGGGCCTCCTCCACCACACTGGCCGTACCTGGTTATAGGTGCAGTTCTTCTTCTTGCATTTGCTACACTGGAAGAGGTCAGTGGTGGTGCCACCGGTCTTGGCCATCTGGTGTTCACGGATGGCCTCCTGGGTCATGGCATTCCTCAGTTCCCTTAGCTCATCACTGGCCATTTCCTGGAGAGAAAGGAGTCTCCCCTTCAGGGCTTAGGAGCCCCAGGGATCTTGCCCCCCCACCCGCAGTTTCGAACATAGGAGGAGGGAACATGCTGGAGGGAGGTCTGGACCCCAGCAGGGAGAAAGCTGTACCCAAAGAGTCCCCACTGCACCCATGGCTAGAAGGTCAAACCTGTGGGCTCTGGCTGGGCCAACAATCAGTAAGGTATGTCCCGAAGCACAGCAGGCAAACAGCCCCCGCCCAGAACTGGCACACTGTGCCCCCTTCCTCAGGTCTGCTGCTCACACTGCCGGCCAAGATGGTGGCCTGAAACTTAACTGCTTGAGCTGGCTTGACCACTGCCCACCTGATCTGTGATGTTCCCTTTGTCCTTCCCATCTGGTCTTGCCTCTCGAGCTGTGACCCCTGGCCAGCCATTGTGCTTAGTGGGACTTTGTCTCAACCATCCATGACTTACTGGTGCTACCCAACCTCAACAGAACCCTGCAGCTCACACAAACTGCTCACCTGAGACCACACACTGCAGAACAGCTTTTCCTGGGGGTCCCTACAGAACAGTCTCTTGCCTCCCACCAGCTCACTATCGACATTCAGTGTGCATGACCCAGGCCTTTCCCTTCTCTATCCATCTCCCTGACCTCTGATTCCCCCTAAGCCTCTGCCAGTGGAGAGCAGAGAGGGGAACTACAAACTGGAGAGTTCTAGTTAAAGGTTGGTAGACAGGGAGGAGTATGGCTGAAGATGATGTTAAAATAAGGATTTGGGGCCAGGCATGGTGGCTCATGCCTATAATCCTAGCACTCTGGGAGGTTGAGACAGGTGGATTGCTTAAGCTCAGGAATTCAAGACCAGCCTGAGCAAGAGTGAGACTCCATTGCTACTAAAAATAGAAAAACTAGCCAGGCATTGTGATGGGCGTCTGTAGTCCCAGCTACTCAGGAGACTGAGGGAAGAGGCTCACTTGAGCCCAAGCGTTTGAGGATTCGAACCCGACAGCTCAGGGGTATGTGGCTGGCACCTTAGCGGCTTGAGCTACAGCGCTGAGCCGAAAATGCAGATTCTTATGCATCGGAAACATTAAGGGCAGGCTCAGGAATATGCATAATTATTAGTGTCCCTAGGTTATTCTGGTGCATGCTAATAGTTGGTAATAGTTGATATATAATAAAACAAGTCTACCAAAGGCCATATAAATAGAAAGCAGCTGATTTTAATTGGAGGAGGGAGATTTTCCAGAGCATAATGCATTCATTCATTCAAAACTTTTTGGATGCCAATTTACTGAATGCCTTTAACTGCATCGTTGTGCTGGTAAGCTAACTGTGTCTGTGAGGGGTACCTGACCTGTAGCATTTGTCAACTTTCATAATACAAACGCTTCCACCGTGGGCAGTGTCAAGTTGCTAATGTGATGTCACTGATTGCAGAGTTGGGAAGAGCTACACAGAATCAACTCTCATGAGCTGGCAGGAGCGAGCTCAAGCACACCACTGCCTCTGAGCCCAAAGGGTTCACATGTAAAGATTTGGTTTCTGCACCTGGGTTCTACAAGCATTTATTCAGGACTGCAAGAGGGAGGGAAGGAAGTACTACAGCAACAGTATTCAAGGGCAGGGGAAAGCACAGACTACGGTGGCTAACTGGGGTCAGTGTGGGTCATGACAAAGCTAACACTTAATCAGGCTTGAAAGATAGGAATTCCCAAGGGGGGATGGCACATTCCAGATAAATAGAATAGCAGGTGCAAAAGATCAGAGGACAAGAATAGCATATCTAGGGAAGAGTTCTGGGGGTGGGTTCAAGCTGAGGAGTGTGGGAGGTGCGACTGGAGGTCAGACCGCGGAAGGAGGGAAGGTCTTGGGTACCGGCTAAGAGACAGAACAGAAAAATCTATCCACTCACCCACCAATCCATTTACTCATTTCTGCCCTGCCTCATTGGAATGAGGCAGCAGCAAAGATACATGGAGTGAGTGCAAGAATACAGAAAATAGGCTGGTCCGAGTGTAGTGGCGTTTATAAAGCTAATTGATCACAATCAGTTACAGATTCCTTTGTTCCTTCTCCACTCCCACTGCTTCACTTGACTAGCCTTTAATAAAAAAAGAAGAAAGAAGAGGAAGAAAAAATAAATTCGAAGCTGGGGGTGCTGGCTCACACTTATACTCTAGCACTCTGGGAGGCCGAGGGGGGTGGATCGCTTGAGCTCAGGTGTTCAGGAGCAGCCTGAGCAAAAGTAAAACCCCATCTCTACTACAAATAGAAAAACTAGCTGGGCATTGTGGTGGGCGCCTGTAGTCCCAGCTACTCAGGACACTGAGGCAAGAGGATTGATTACTCAAGCCCAGAGTTTGAGACTGTAAGCTACAACAACGCTACAGCACTTTAATCGGGGCAATAGAGTGAGATTGTCTCAAAAAGGAAAAAAAGAAAAGAAGTGGTGCCCATAGCTCAGTGGTTAGGGCACTGGCCACATATACCAAGGCTGGCAGGTTCGAAGCTGGCCCGGGCCTGCTAAACAACAATGACAACTACAACAAAAAAACAGCCAGGCATTGTGGCGGGTGCCTGTAGTCCCAGCTACTGGGGAGGCTGAGCCCAGGGGTTTGAGATTGCTATGAGCTGTGACCCCACGGCACTCTACCCAGGGTGACATAGTAAGACTCTGTCTCAAAAAAAGAAAGAAAGAAAGAAAAGAAATTTGAAAATAAGGGAAATGAGAGTAGACGATGACTCAGCTCTTCGTGTTGTATAACTATTAAAAGAAGGATGCCAAATGTACACTTGTTGAATTCTATGCCACGCAGGCACTGCTGTCAGCATTGGGTGGACAGTGAACAGACAAGGGCCCCCTCCTCCCGGGCTGACAGGGTATTCACTCAACCACGCCAACAGTTATCTCAGAGCCTATGCTGTTTTTTGAGATGTCTGGACAGGAAGGTAAAGAGAGAAGGGGAAGAATGGAGTCAGGTGAAGGACAGATACAAAGAGCCAGTTGGGGACAGGGATGCGGAGAGGTGTCCATCCACCTCTCCCTGCTGGGCTGCCTTCTGTCTCCTGAGCCACAGCACAGCAGGCACCCTCCCCGAGCTGTGATTTTTCTTTCTGGAGCACAAAGCGTCCTGTTTTGTTTTGCTGTTTGGTTTGGTATTTTGAGACAGACTCTCACTCCGTTGCCCCAGCTAGAGTACACTGGCATCGTCGTAGCTCACTGAAGCCTCAGACTCCTGGGCCCAAGCTGTCCTCCTGCCTCAGCTTCCTCCTGCCCTCATCAGGCACCAAATCTCAAACAGACAGTGCCTCGATCTTGGACTGTTCAGCCAAAAGAACTGTGAGAAATAAATGTCTGTTGTTTAGAAGCCACCGAGTCTATGGTATTTTTGTTATAGCAGCCTGAACCATGACACGCTGTAAAGCCAAGTTGCAACTTGTAACTCTGGCCTTATGTTGCTATTTGCCCAAAAAGATTAGATGTTTTAAGGTCAGAAGAAATGGTCAGATGCAGTGGCTCACATCTGTAATCTAGCACCTAAGGCTGAGGCAGGAGGATC